TTTAAAGTGAGTTAATTTATCTAGTAGCGCAAGGCATTTAATTAGCGTCAGAGAAGTACTTTTAAAAAGTGTATTTTTAAATTGTCTTAGTTATTCGAAGAACTTTCAATATGTATTGCGCGCAGAACTTTAGCAAAGAACATTATTGGGTGTGAATATTTTTAAATTGACTTGTCTTACATGAATAACTTGTCTTGATCACACAAACATTATTTGCAAGAATTTTTTATTTGATTGTCTAGTTACGCTCCAAATATTTCCCAATGTCAACATATTCCCGGTTTAGGTCCACCACGACGCTTTTTTTAGGTAAGGTTGAAGCGAAAGCCTCCTCTTCAGATTGATTATTATAAATACTATCGTTGTTTTGAATCGATGTATCATTACTAATACTATTAGTACAGATTAATTTATATATTTCGATTGTAATATTTTTATGACGTAGTTATTACATAGCTTAAAATGAAATTACGCAATACTATCGTTAACTATAGTTACGAAATTAATTATTATTACGGCACAATGGGATCATACCTGATACGTTTTTTGTCGTAACCGTATCCGTAACTGGCCGAATACCGTAAAATTCATTGGGACGCATCACTAATTATTACATTGCATCGATATATACCGATACCGTATCAGGTATTAAAATGACTGTTATAAGTTATATTGTGCAGTTGTTATTGCTTATTGCTTCACTTTTTCATGGACGAATTTTTTGCGGTACTTGTTCCATATGTGATAGAGCTTAGAAACGCCTCCTGTATAAATGATTTGAATTCTTTGCAATGTGTTTAATAATAATAACGATAATATTAATTGCTTACCGTATTTTTTGCGGAATAACGCGCAGGGGTGTAATTTCGAATTTTGGCCCGAATTAAGCTTAATTCGAGCGAAATTCTAAATAACGTTCATGGCGTTATTCCGCGAAAGTACGATAATGTTTTTCTAGAGATGTTGGTTGATTCAACTTGCTTGCATATTTATTATAATAAACCCAGATTAATAAATAAAGTTCGAACGATCCTGATTAACACTTTTATCCTATTGATACCTCAAATATAATGATACCAAAGTTGCATCAGCTGTTTGCGTGAACGGTTACGCATCAGAACTTCATTTTTGTCTCATATTAAACAACCAGATCTATAATGTATACACTATCACTATCGCTATTTCGATTTTGCAAGATATTTCCGGAATTTAATCTCTATAAATCAATTATTGCCTCCAGATCTGAAGCGATGCAATACAACAGATTCGACTTATCTTTCCATTTCAGTTGTGCTGTCGAACGAAGGTTTTGATGCAATGAGCCTTTACTCACATCCCAAACCGATAATATAACGATAATGTAATCTTTATAAACATCATCATTTGTTATTGTTCCATAAAATTCTAAGAACAAAATAGCAATGAAATATTAGTATCACAATTAAAAAATTCTTGATTACGATTACTGTTAAGTCATAGTATTATTACCTCATTTATTCGAATCATGAATCAATTTAAATGCAATTAATGTCCAGTATTTTCGAACAAATACGCATAATATCAGTCGCGAATCCACTCTTCCTTTCTCTATCTTTTGAAACTCGTTATAAGAAGTCCATGGCTTTTTATCATTTAATATTTTTCAAGTTTATTATCGAAGCCTTCGTATGATAATTTGCTTATCGTTATCTTTTTCAACCTCTTTTTATTCGGTTGATTCATTGTATATCTCCCGGTACGTCGATTTCATTTCGGCAACAATGGCTCACATCTACAATTTTTTTAAAATATTCAAATGCTTTCTTTTCATCCTTTTCAAAACTAATTCCATCAGGATAACAACGTCCAATCATATGGGCTCCACTATCATCTCCCACCCTATAGATTTTTAACAATAAATGAATACATCCTTTTCAATTTTAACTCTTTTTTGATAGCAACCTCCAACATTACGTGTTCATCTTTTCAACTCCAATCCCATTTTGACAATAATATTCAACACAGACTCTCGATAATAAATTAATACCATATGTTCATCCTTTCCAACTTCAATTTCATCTCGATATCTCGATAACAATACCCAATTCCAAATACTGAAATACGGTAGAATTATTCATATCGGCAGATTTTTGATAATAAATGAATGCCCTATTATGTATGTTCATCTTTTTCGATTCTTATGTTGATGATTGTATTATCCAAGGTCATAAGGACTTAAAAATAGCTGATTTTTTATGGTGTACTGAATTATTATAATTCATTTTACTTTTAAAGTATGAGAAAAAGCAAAAGCTCTAATTATTTAAATGTAAGTGTACTCATTTTACAAAGTTTTACATCAATATCGAGTAACACAAATAATTTTCGTTTTAGATATTTCAAAACTGAAATGAAACCTAATACATCTTTTAAATCTCCTCTAATCTATTATAAAATAAACATCATCACTTTATTTAGACTGCATTAATATAAGGGCGTGCCTATAAAAAAATTTTCTCTCAATAAATTCGTATAATCTTCGCTCTTCTAACCCTAAACTTCGAAATCAGCTTAATGCAGGCCGATGTCGATCAATCTAGGCCGAACGATCGACAAAACCCGGCACAGATTTTTTATTTGCCAATATTCACACGTTAGATAACTAGCCAATCACATGATTATATTACAAAAGAAAATCTTGTTTACGTGTTTTCATTTTTATAACTTTCTTTTTATTACTGTATTATATCTTAGTTTTTATTATACTTTATTTTTTTATAATAACTTTTGTTGTTTAACTTCGTTTTGTTATTAATTATTAAATTGTTTTACGTTGTTATTAGTACTGTAGCAGGTTTGGCAGATTTAGATTGTTGTTGGTTTAGGTTGTTGTTGTGGGTAGATTTAGAACATTATGGGTGAGTTTACGTGGTTTTGGGTTGTTGTTGTGGATAGGTTTAGAACATTATTGGTGGTTTTTTGGTTGTTGTTGTGGGTAGATTTAGAACATTATTTGCGGGTTTACGTGGTTTTTGGTTGTTGTTGTGAGTGGTAGGTTTAGAACATTATTGGTGGGTTTGCGTGGTTTTTGGAACATTTTTACGTGGTTTTTGGTTGTTGTTATGGGTGGATTTAGAACATTATTGGTGGGTTTTTGGTTGTTGTTGTGGGTAGATTTAGAACATTTTTACGTGGTTTTTGGTTGTTGTTGTGGGTGGGTTTAGAACATTATTGGTGGGTTTTCGTTGTTTTTGGTGGATTTAGGTTGTCGTTTTTGGTATCGTAGATTTATTGGCGGAAAACCGTCTGATTAGGCGTAAGTTTTTGCATTTCCTCTACTTAAGGTCTACTGATTCCGTATGAGGGGTCGGTTACGTACCTTTCTTAAGAGTCAAAAACTTGCGGGTCAGCGGTTTTGGTGGAAGGAAGGAGAGGGAGGATAAATGGATATAGTCTAGTATAGTATAGTATAGTATAGTATAGTATAGTATTGTATTGTATTGTATGTATAATGTAGTATCTGAGCTCTAGAGGTTATGAGCCAAAGCTTATTGGATCAATATTGATTCAAGTGGAACAACCTACTCCCGGTGGGGAAATACGGGAGAGATCTGGTTGGGGGAAACCTTCCCAACCGACGAGATACACCTCTACGTGGTGGTTGGGACAAGTAGGAGAGTTAATCTCCGAAACCAAGTATCTCAAAAAAAATTAATAAATAATATACTTTTTTTATTTTAAAATAAATAATAAATAAAATTTAATTATATATATTGTTTTATAATTTGAGTTCACTGGCATAAATTGTTTTAAAAGAAAAATAATAAAAATATCGATGTTACATTTTTAATCACATGTTCGTTTTTGCTCGAAAAATAATTATTATACACTAGTTAAAGACAATTAAGCCGATACTTCAGTGATAGATATAAATAAAAAATACAAATTTCTCTAGGTTTCTGTTATCACATATTATAACAATCAAGTCAAGTTTGTACTTAATTGATAGTTTCATTATTTATCTCACTACAGGTAATTCACTTTTAACGCTAATGTGAGTGATCACTGCCCAGATTACAATTTACGATAGACTTTAAACAAAATTCTTTTATTCGAACTGCAAAAAAGTCATTATCGATATACCCCTGAATACGAATACTTCATTAATATTTTAAGTCATGTATTAAATTTTTTAATTCTTGTTATCCGTGAAATGTCAAAAAAAAAAAATTGTTTGCATGAAAAAATCTTTGATCTATAATATGATCAAAAATGCAAAAAATCGATCGATTTACTTTTATATGATATCATTTATCAAAATGATTTATTGATACATTACATTATTATGCAGAATAAGAATAATATAAATTATCTCCTAATAACCCATTCTCATTTCGCGCGATATCTTCATATTTACTAAACTTTAAGAATTTTTTATTCAAAAAAAATGATCAAATTTGTACTTGTATCATTCACTATTCTCTCATTATTTTTATCCATCACGAATTGTCAACTTGAAAATGATCAAATTACCGATATTTCTGCTCGAGAACCATGGTTAATTGATGATCATTTTCCTTCTCCATTCGACGAATTTATGAATTCAAAACAAAATATTCATTCAGACCCTTTCCAAGTGATGGATGAACTTGTAGATTTATCAATCGAAGCTACTGAAGCAATGTTAGATTCTTTAGATTTTAATAATCTTAATGATGAAAATTCTTTCACTACCATTGAAATTACTATCGTAGAGTCACCTGATTTACCAGAAACGAAAAGTAATGAGAATGAATTTCTTGAAATAGATAATGCATTAAAGATGATTCTAGATGATGATATAGATGATACATCAAAAATGACTATAGATGATGATGAATCAATTCAACAATACGATCCTTTTGATGATTCTTTTGTGACTTCATTTCAAACTTGCGAACCTGACAACGAATTTCTTTTTTCACCGGAAATTCTTCAAAATTCTTATTCAGCTGAAGAAGAAGAAGAAGAAGAAGTTGTTGTTGATGATGATGATGAAAAAGATTCATTTTTCAAGCAATCAATTTCAGATTATCTATTCAGTCCATTGTTTGTGATTTTTATAGCTGTAGCTGCTTTTGCGGCAATCACTCCTGTTATTCTTAGTATGATAAGAGGGAAGAAAGAAAAGAAATATGAATATTTTGTCGTTCATGCAACCGATGATTATCAAACTACAGATTTAGAAAGTGCAATGTGTGTAAAGAAGTAAGCTTCGATTTTGGTCTTTTTATCAAATAATTAATTAGATGTGAGAACTTTATAATAGTTGTTTTTTTTATCTATACCCTGTATTATATATAATAAAGTTTTTTTTTATTATGTCGCGTTATTTTGGTTATTATGCAAATAAAAATTGTCTCACGCTTTACATTACCATTTGTCATTACAATTAAAGTCTTACAAAACGAGACGGGTGAATGTCTCATTCATTTATCAGATTTCTTTGTGACACGTATGGTTGGGTTTTTCGACTTGTGTTTGCACAAGAAATAATTCATATAATTATAATTCACATAATTAATTCTATTAATTACTTCTATGATAGTTTATTTTTTATGTATCAATTACGATCACGTAAAAGACACCTTTTTTCTGCTAATTACAAAGAACGAGAACTTAAAGGAAAATAAATAAACAAATAAAAGAAATAAAAGCAGTCTAAAAACAATTTTTAAATTTTATTTTTCTTATTCAGAATTCTAAAATCTTTTTTAAAAATGTGCTTTTAAATTAATATATTAATGTTTCTTTTATATATATATATATAAAAATCGCAACTATCGTCGCATCTTTTCTGATAATGCAGTACGTCTAATTTGGTTTATTTTATTTTTTAATTCATTTTTACAAGCAAAATCTACGAGAGGACGGGTCCAGCCGAAAGAATTTCTTGTGTAGCTTGATCTTCGTAATTCTTAAAGTTTTTAGTAAACATCTCGGCTAATGAATTTCGAGTTTTCTTAAATTCATCTTCACTACCTTTCCAAGTTCTTGAAGGATTTAATAATTCAGATGGAACTCCCGTACATAATTTTGGAATTTGTAAATTAAATACATCATAGGATTCATATTCAGCCTTAGAGAGTTCACCGGAATGAATAGCATCAAGGATGGCACGAGAGTATTTAAGTTTAATACGTTCACCAACTCCATAAGCACCACCATTCCATCCAGTATTAATTAACCAAGCATCAGCTGAATGTTGTTTCATTTTTTCAGCCAACATCGTTGCATAACGTGCTGGATGAAGTACAAGGAAAGGTTGACCAAAACAAGCAGAGAATGTAGCCTCCGGTTGAGTGACACCTTCTTCAGTTCCAGCAATCTTGGCAGTATATCCAGAGATAAAGTGATACATAGCTTGAGCTGGTGATAATTTTGAAACCGGTGGAAGAACACCATATGCATCACATGTTAAAAGAATAATATTTTTTGGATGACCAGATGAAATACAAGGTAATTTGGCATTTGGAATATATTCAATCGGATAAGCACAACGAGTATTTTCCGTTAATGAACTATCATCATAATTTACTATACGAGTGTGACGATCATAAACGACATTTTCTAGGACAGAACCAAAACGGATAGCGTTATAAATTTCTGGTTCTTTTTCAGGAGATAGACCAATACATTTTGCGTAGCAACCTCCTTCAATGTTAAAGATGCCATCATCTGACCAACAATGTTCATCATCACCAATCAAAAGACGTTTTGGATCAGCAGAAAGTGTAGTCTTGCCAGTACCAGATAAACCAAAGAAAAGAGACACGTCTCCTCCATGACCTTCATTTGCCGAAGAATGTAATGATAAAACATTATGCCTTACAGGCATTATATAATGCATTACTGTAAAACTAATATATATATATATAATTGAAAATAAATATAATTAATTAAATATAATTAATTAATTTCAAATAATAATAATATTATTATTAAGATATAATAAAATTATGATACATACACTCCCTTTTTCATTTCACCAGCGTATTCTGTACCCAAGATAACCATTTCGTTTGCATGAAAATTAAGAGCAACAGAAGTTGTAGAAGTCATACCAGTGGTGTACCGATTTGCGGGAAAAGCACCGGCATTATAAATGGTAAAATCGGGAGAACCGTAGGTTTCAAGTTCCTGAGTTGTAGGACGAATCAACATATTTCGCATGAACAATGCGTGATAAGCACGTGCGGAGACCACACGAACTTTAATTCTATATTTTGGATCCCACCCCGCAAAACCATCAAAGACGTAGATCCTTTTGCGAGTATTTAAATAATCTACAGCACGTTCACGATTAATGAGGAAAACATTCTCGGGTAATTTCGTATTGACAGGACCCCACTATAAAGTAAATGATCGACCGAAAAGCAGAATCAGACGCCAAATTTAGTAAAGGGGGTGGAAGATTATTATTATTAATAATTTAAATATAAAAATTAAAAAAAAGAGATACCCAAATATCCTCGGAAGAACCAGGTTCTTCAACGATACGTTTATCCTTTGGAGAACGACCAGTTTTAATACCAGAAGCGGTTACCAAAGCACCAGATGAAGAGATAGCGGATCCATCCTCATATTTTAAAGCATCTTCATACAATTTAGCGATTGAAGGATTCCATTTAATAGCTACACGATCATAATCAATATGAGCTTTTTCATGAAGTTCTTCTTCAATTCTAGTATGTACTTTTAAATTATTAGAATAATTCTTTTTTTGAATTGAAGTTTTAAATTGAGAATTATAAGACAGACGAGTTTTCAAAACATTATTTGAAAATTTTTTAGAAAATATATTATTTAACAGATAAGGTTTATTTACAAAACGATGTAATGAATTCATTGATGATGATGTGAAAAAAACTAAAAAGTTAAAAGCCCTGGGGACCACAATTATATATATTATCGTAAATCATGCATTGCGGAATATTACGGCGATTAAATAAATATTTTTCACTGGCACCTCTCGGGGAATTGAGTCATTTAATTATTACACCGCCGAAAAGTTCCGCAACCACTTTTTTTTTTGATTGTACACTTACTGCAGATCTAATTCGACACTGCTAAAATGTCACACGAACCCTAATACTACGGTGCGGATAACCTGGTCCCAACCAATAAAAATTTTTAGCGGTCAAAATTTTAAATTTTAAATTTTATATATTTAGAAATTTTATTATAAAGTGGCCAAATTTAATACATAAAGTGGTTATTTAATAGGGATTTTTTTTTAAGTGGCCAAATTGCTTAAAATTATTTTAATTCTCACTACATTATTAAAAAAAAAAATAGTTAAGACCACCGAGATATTTAGCTTGAATTATTTTAATTTATAATTTTTTTTGTAAATAAGGATTAGCTCTTTGAAGTTAGTCAAATTTTGTCGAGACTAGGTTGTCTGCACTATATAAATAATCATAAATCGTAGTTAATACACAGTTAATAATTTCATCCATCTTTTTTTTAATATGTTTAATAATTTTATCGTTTCAAGAAACATAAGTGTTCTATCAATTTCATTTGATCATTCAAAATGGGATTATTCACAATTAATGGATCCAAATGGTTTTCAGTGGAAAGTTGGGATTACACCGTTATCTAATATACAGGTGCGCTTTGAGATAATTGAAAATAAATAAAATTCATAAATTCAAATTTTAATTCATTTTTATCTCAAATAATTTTTAGATTGTTATTGGTTCTTGGATAACATATTTTGTTGTCATAGTTGGATTAAAGGTATTCAATTAAATGGTTTAATATGATCATAAAAATTTAACGTAACGATTATTTTTTAACAAAAATTATCAGATATTTATGAAATATCAAAGAACACCTTTCTCCTTAAAAGGTGTTGTTGCTGTACATAATTTATTTCTATGCATATTGTCTGCGATCATGTTCGGGTTTTCCGTAATTGACTTATTTAAACGATGGCAGGTTTGTATATAAGTAAATGACCGTGTTTTACTGTTTTACCGTTTTACGTGTTGTGGTTAATGCAGTATAGATAGATAGATAGATTTATAGATTTGTCTATATCTTATCTATATTTTATTTCTCTCAATTATTCAGGAACGCGGTATCAGTGAATGTTTCTGCACATCCGATGAATCATCTTTGAAAGGTCGATTATTTTACATTACATATATTTATTATCTATCAAAATTTATTGAATTGATTGATACCGTGATATTAGTACTCAAAAAAGTAAGTATAAAAAAAAATTTCAATAATTAATTAATTAATTAATTACTCTATCATAATTTTATAAATCCTATATTATCTAATAGAAAGAGATAATTTTTTTACATTGGTATCATCATGCAATCGTGATTCTAATGGTTTGGTCATGGTTACAAGATGCAAATATGTATGCAAGGTATGGAAAGTTTTGTATGATTAAACATGTTAATATTTTTGAAATTTTCATTAATATAATTAATATAATTTGATAACTTATAAAAAAGCATGGGGATGATTGCAAACACGTTTATACATATATTCATGTATTATTATTACTTTGTTGCGGTATTAGGAAGATCTGTTTGGTTCAAGGTAATATATATATAGATATTGCGTGTATTAAAAAAAAAAACTAAATTATCACATTCCTCACGTCAATAATTAGAAATACGTTACCACCGGACAAATCATTCAATTTTCAATATCATTTATATTATCAGTGCCATATCTTTATTATCATTTTACAAAGAATTGTCAATACGGACTTTCTGCATTTGTATTCTCAATACTTTGCAATGGAAGTTTTCTGGTGTTATTTATTAGATTTTATCAAAAAGCATACAAGAAAAAAGGAAAGAAGGACTAATAAGTAATTATAATTAATATTAGAATTGTTTAGGGATAACCCTTTTTTACATTAATTTAAAATTGTAATTTCAATTTGTTCATCACCCAGATCGAGATGCTTTGAACCATTGACTAAAAAAATAAAATTTAAGTTTGTACTGTTTCATCTACGTGGTTCAATGCTATATAGAAAGTGTTATCTTTAATGTTCCACCCGGTCACTGTAATAGTATAGTACTTGAATGCGTTTACGAAATTTTCCGATAGTTAAAAGATATGTGTAAAATGAATATCCTTCTTTGAATACATTTTTTTAACTATGGCTATTTAAAAAAATTTTAGACCAAAAAAAAACCATCTAACCATCTATATTCATGAAAAGAAGTCAAACAATTTTGGGCAACATTAAATTAATAAAAAAAATCCAATTTTCCGAATAAGTCACCTGATGAGAAACCGCCCACATTACATTTTTGAACGGTTTTTTTCAGGCGTGGGAGTTAATATTCATTTTAAGGTTTTCTTAAAATGATTATACCATTTTTAGATAATTAATAAACAGGGTCTATCACCATTCAGCAAAAACCCATAAGAAAGTTACACGTCACTAAATAACTTTTCCTATCTCTCACCAATAGCATACTATATGAGTGCTGCCAAAGGAAACCTGGAATTCTTAATTTTCGGAAACTCCGCTTTTAGAAACAGAAAAATATCGATACCAAATTTTTTAAGCTGTTTCTGAAAATGAAATTTCGGCACTCATATACTGCATATATATTTCCAAGTGTCAATCTGGCCTAAATCCATCATCCTAAACAAATTAATTTAGGCAAAGCGATTGAGAATTACATTTTGAGACACTATTTTTTTTTATGCTAAAAGCATTCCGAATTCTGACCTCAATACGTATCGTAAAAATTTTGTTATACCTAAAAAACTTTTGATTATTTAAGAATTGAATATCGTACGTACGTACAGTACGTAGATTCTGAATGTCAAATTGATACTGTATATAGTATACCATATTTCTCGGTTAATAGTACCCAGACCTTTTAATTTCTCAATTGTTTAGTGAGTAGTACCTTCCTCTGGTTACCGCTACTACATTGGCAGTGGTACAGTACTATTTTCCGAAAAATTACGGTATTTCCGAATACAGTTTTGTATTTTTAATTAGTAAAACTAAAAAGTTTAACAAATTTATATAAGAGTGCTGCAAAAGGAAAATGGGACTCGGTTTTTATTAAATATATTATCGTTATTGTTTATATATACTTTAAAACCAATGTTACATTTTTCCTTGGCAGTACGTACTCATATATATATACTGACTGTATAATAACTTTAATAAAAATGAAAGAATATATAATTAAATTTACCCATTAGGGTATGTACTCGATACGTATAAAGAAAAAAATATAACCTTTAGAGCTAGTAGGTTATGGTTAAAAGTGTATTTATACTGTAAGTGCCGAACATTTTACTTGAGAGCACTAAATTGGTTTTCTCAATAAAAGTCTGAGATATTGACAATTTTTTTTATGCCGAGTATCATACCCATAAGGTATGAATAGAAATTAACCATTAAGTGTCTAGTCGCAAATATTGTAATTAGTGAGATAGTATATTTCAATTTAGATAATAATATATTATGAATTTCTAAACATGAGTGAAGCCAAGGAAAAATCTATAAGCCGTTCTTGAATATTTCCTTTTAATAAAAATATCTTAAAGCAATTGAATACTTAAGATTCATTATTATTCGAATCGTCTCAAACGATATTAAAGGCATTACTCATTTTAAAATCTGCATTTCCTGCGAAGAATGTAAACTTTGGACGATTGATAAGTAAAAAAATCTACTGCAAAATGGTAATAATTGAGGTAATTTTCAGCCTTATCAATTCGACCGATAAGTTTATCAATAGTAGTTAATGTAATTCACTAAGGTTAGCTTGCAATTGCTTTCAATAAAACTGCCATAAATGCTTTATCCCGTTTCAATATACTTTCTTTAACGCCAAATATATATATATATATATTTATATCTATATAATTAATATCTTTATTATTTCTTGAAATTTTCTTAAAATGGTTAGTTATATAAAGGACCATTTTCCGAACCTAAAATTTTTTAACAGGCTTAGATGGCCATCCGTTGGTTATCAAAAATGGTGAGCAACTTGTATTTTATTCCGAAAGTCTCCGTATTGTATGTGCCCGAACCCCAAGCCTGCATCTGTGTTGCACAGGTCAGTCTTATATTAGATATTGGATTTACAAGTTGTTCTTTTAACGCAGATCATATTTATTAACAAATGGGTTGATAACGATAAGAATAACTATGTGTATAAAGACCAATTAGGATACTTTTTATTAGTTTCTATTATATTTTCCTATACATTATTAGCAAGGTTGGCAATGGAACTGCAAATAGAGCCAATGGAGCACTGAATGAAGTCAATGGATATTGGGGGTTTTTTTTGAGTTCCATTGCCAACTATGTATGTATGCTATTGGAATAATACTTCAATATCACCGCAGATCAAATATGGAATGTGTTATTTTAAACCAGTTAGTACGAGATGTGGTGTAACGCGGTTCAGACTATAGATCGTGGTTTGATATCATGGATCGTGCTTTGAAGCCACAGATTATGGTTTAAAACTCTAGATCGTAAACATATGTAAAACTTTGTATATATATATATATATATATATATAAAGAAATTTGTCTGAATGGTTAGCCAATCAAATTGCATAAAACCATAAAACCTACATGTTTTATAATTCCAACTGAGTCAATAGGATGACTAAAGCAAATTGAATCTTTTTTCATAAATCCTGGACACCTGACAAAAAACTAACTGAATGATTTTTGGCCGATTCGGTCGTTATTGAGTGCAGTAAAGAGAAAAGCCTGAATCTTTCGCTTAATAAGAATTCCAGGTTTTACTTTTGCGACACTCATACGTAATTTATAAAACAAGCATATCTCTGATGAATACAAAAATATTGTACTTTCAAAGCATCTTCGCTGACAAATAATTCAAATAATTGAATAAAAACTTAGAAGGCTTATCAGTTCGATAAACACTTAAGTGTTAGCTAATCATCTACAAGTCAAATTCTCAAGCGCTTTCAAAGATATGTATTAAAAACTTCTGTAACACATTTTTGATAAATAAAATCTTGATTTTTTAGAATCATGAGTTACTCCTTTAAGCCAGTCAACAAATTCATGCCTAATGTTTTTTAATATTAGCACCTATTCGTGTTTATTATTAAAGTCTGGAGTATTTTTATATTTCTTATCAAGATTTATTTCCATAAATTTTTGCATAAACTAAACATAACAAGCATGTTGGACAAATACTCAACAAAAATTTAATAATGATAATACAAATTTAATAATGCTGAATGTGTCAATATTGTAATGATACAAGTATGATATTACATTTATGTTGAAATCGATAACTTAACCGAATCGGTTGAAAAATCATTTTGCTGATTTTTTTTCAGATTTCCTAAATGCCCAAACTAAATTAATACAATGGATAAGTATTTATAAATAATCTTTATACTCTGACTAAATTAATGCTAACGAAATGATTCAGATGTAATGATAAATAAGCATTTATGAACTTAAATAGTGAACTTTTTTGATTTCTGCTGATATTTTTACTCACTGGCTAAATCAATATGAATGCACGTAGTGGTAAGTGGGTGTTTATAATCTAGTGGGCTTATTTTGCAGATTTTAAGTCCACTGATTAATAAATGATATTTTTACTTGCTGGCTAAATCAATGCGAATGAAATGATTTGTACGTAGTGGTAGGAGATATTTATAATTTTGAACTTGTTTGCTGATTTTAATGTCACCGATTAATGCATTGAGATGATTTTGATGTAAAGGTAAATAATTATTTATTAAACTTGAATTGTGAAATTGTTGGCTAATTTTATTCTATACTGTTAATAAATAATCTTCTTACTCACCAGCTAAATTAACGTGAATAAATTGATCTGTATATATGGTAAGTAAGTATTTATGATCTTGACCTGTGAACTTGCTTCAATTTTAATTCCACTATTTCTACTGATTAATAAATAACCCTTTTACTCATTGGCTAAATCAATGTTAAAATGATTTATATGTAGTAGTAAGTAAGTAAGTATTTACGATCTTGACTTGTGAACGTGCTTTACAAATTTTGATTCCACTGATTAATAATTAATTTTTTTTATTTACTAGTAGATTGAATTCAAGGCATTGGTTGAAACTTGCTGAATCATAACTATAATAAACTTATCTTTTCTTCTTATAGCAAACTCTATTTAAAACTTTATCTCAAATAACTTTAAAAATATCTTTGTTTGCTTATTTTAACTTAGAAGCTACAACAAATCTTAAACAATACAAAACAATATATGTAGTATATATAATATATAATTTTTTCACAGAATTAATTACTAAATATACAAAGTTAAATTTCTATTGGTTAATTTTTATTTAATTTAAATCTTTAAAAAATATATAAAAATAATTTGGGAGCTAACAGAAAAGAGCTCATATAGCCCCCCCTCCCCCAGACTCATAAAAACTGTTAACCATAGGTTAACCGTTAATATTCTCCTTAAGATTGTGATGTCATAATAGCCTCATGAAACAAAACCCCTGACCCCTAAAAACCGTTAACCTATGATTGTCTGGAGCGAAGCGGAGGACACTCTGTTTTTACGATAGACTGTGATCATCGAGATCATGTGGAGTTGTCCTTCCGTCCGCTTTTATAAATGCTGATTGGCCGAATATTTCGATTTGTACTGCTTCCTTTTACGAAGTACTATACAGCTATATGCACTTTTATGCTCCGGACTTTTACTGGTTTTCAGTTCCTAGTTAATAGTTATCTTTCTCTTAAGTTTGCGATGTCATAACAGCCCCATGAAACAAAATCCTGACCCCTAAAAACCATTAATCATAGGTTAACCATTAATACACCCTTAAGATTGTGATGTCATAATGGCCCTATAAAACAAAACCCTGACCCCTAAAAACCGTTTAACAGTTATTTTCCTCACAAGATCGTGCTGTCATAATAGCCCAAATAATAGTTAACGGTTAAATTTGTCAAAGTTAATTTGAATTAAATTAGTGATATATTTATTTCAGTTCATATATAAGCTAATTAAGCGACAATTTATAGTTTATTAATTTATTACATATAATCATTAAACAGAAATAAGACTTACTTATTTCAAATTAACTATGAATCACGTTTAGTAATGGGAAAAATGTGCATTTTATAATAATATACATATTAATGTATACATTATATAAAATGTACATGATATAATTTCTGAAATTTATATTTTCCTATTGAAAAATATCAGATGTGATCAAATTTTACTACAATCTTGCTCTTTTTTTATATTCATTTATTTTCTTTTTGGAAATTTTCAGAGTTTTGTATCAAAATTCCTTAATTTTGCCTTACAATATGCTCTCTGGCCTAAATTATATATACTTTAATTTTTTTATATAGAATTTAGATGAGGTAAAATATACATGATTCCAAAATATGCGCATGAATGCACAATTAAGGAATCATGCACACACATGAAGCCCATCTCTAATCACATTCTCAAAGAATTATAGAAGATCAGTATGGTACGAGTAACCAAATCAGTACAAAATTATAAAACAATACTATACTGATCAGCTATAATTATATAACACTAGATTAGTATGGTATGATCCCAAAGTTCTGTGCCCTTATAACGAATTGCAATACATCAATATTTGATATCTTCATCATTTTCAATAGCTTGTATTCATAAAGCTCATTTTCAGCTCTATTTCACTTTTACCAATGAAACATAAAAGAGAAACAAAGTTTAGCAAAAATACAGAAAGCAAAAGAGAACTATTGACTAGTACTTATCTTGGTACCAGTTTCAAGTTCCATGGGTCCCAGATCTCAATTCTGGCTCTATTTTCACTTTGCCAGTAAAATACAAAACTTGTAAAAGAAAAACAAAGTTTAGTAAAAATACAGAAAGCAAAAGAGAACTATTGACTAGTACTTATCTTATATCAGTTTCAAGTTCTACCAAGTCCCAGATCTCAATTCTGGCTCTATTTTCATTTTGCTAGTGAAATACAAAACTTGTACATCAGCAAAAATAAATAGGCGTAAACCTCCGCAAGTTTTTACGCGAGCGTAAACTTACGAAAATTTACGATTA